AAAAAAAAAAGAAAAAGAACAAAATGTCAAAGGGAGAAGTACACGTAAATTGAAAAAAAGAAAAAAAATAAGAAAACTCGGGTGATTATTAAATTTCAATCAATACGATACAGATCTACTTTTGTCATTAAATATTACCTACCAAACTATTATTACTACTAATATATATATCTACGTAATAATAATGCAAGAAGAAAAGGGTGTTGGATCGAACGGGAGACAGGGGGTGTGTGTGTGCAGGGGATTGGTGAAACAAGTACACTGAATAATGCATATATCTATTCGTATACGTTCACGCTCGTGTACGAAGGTACACTTTCAAGTGAGAAAATCGATTTCCCAAGTTGCATATACATACTATAACACACATACATATCTCTATATACATATATATGTTCTTATAAAAGCGTGTGAGTTGCGTATATTATTTGTATCTATGTATATATATATAATATATAGAAACATTGTATATGTGGGTGTATAATATATACATACATATGTGTCATAAATTGAGAAAGATAGAGACAGATGAGCTTAGCCGATGGTCGATTGAACTTCGACATTAATGACACGACACACGTGCACACACACACACACACACACACATATACAATGATGAAGAATGATGGACGGTGCAACATTGAATAACACGTGGTAAAATAGCGTATGCATCTGAATGTATATATCTCTGGTGGCCACTCAAATTCAACGGGGTAACACGTTATTATGGGTAAAACAATGGGTTTTGCGAAAACTGTGGTTATGGTGGCCGTCGAGCTAGGTAATCCGATCGACATGTCGATGTTTATTTTCATTCGTATTCTATTACGCCTCTTCTCGCATTATTATTTCTACAGAATGAGTTTTTGGTTACACGATGATAATGACGATGATAATAATAATGATAACACACACACACATTTCCCTATAGAATCGTGTGTATGATTCCTATTAGTTTTAAACATTTTTAACAAGTATTCGAAAATGTTATCGACAACGAAAAGGTGTTTACAAAATACAAATTTGATATTAAATCAATTGTTTTATACTCCATCTCTTTCTATTTCTATTTCTATTTCTTTTCTTTTCATTTTTTTTTTTTTTTTTTAAATAGAAAATGAATAATGGTAAT